ACGAAAAAAAAACACCTTGCGTCGCGCGCCAAAAGCTATTGTAGTGCAGAAGATTAATCATTGTATGGGACACTCGCGGGAGATTGTTTTCAAGGCCTTCCTTTTATTTTCTGAAGTGGGTGAAGGGTGGGGAGTCGAGGGGGTGGGGGAGGGAGGAGGACAGAGGGAGGGAGGGAGGGAGGATTGTAGAGGGAGGGAGGGAAAGAGAGGGAGAGAGAATGAGGGAAAAGGGGAGGAGAGGAAGAGAGGGGGAAGGAGCGATGGAGAGGGAGAGGGATGGAAAGGGAGAGAGGGAAAGGAATGGAGAGGGAGAGGGAGAGAGGGAGAGGGATGGAGAGGGAGAGGGAGAGAGGGATGGAGGGGTAGAGGTAGAGGGAGGGAGGGAAAGGGGAGGAGGTGGGTTGTAGGAGAGGGGGAGGGGGAAGGGAGAGAGGGGAAGAGAGGGTGAGGGAGAGGGAGGGTTGGGAGGCAGGGAAAGAGGGAGAGGAAGAGGGAGGGAGGTAAAGAAGGGGTGAGGAAGAGGGGGTGAGGGAGAGAGAGAGGGGGAAGAGGGAGAGGAAGTGGGAGAGGATGAGTGGAAGACTGGGAGAGTGAGTGGGATAGAGGGGGGTGAGAGGGAGGGACTTTTTTTTATCTCTCTCTCCTCCTTCTTATCCTATTTCTCTTTCTTTCTCCATCTCTTTCCATTTTCTTTCTCTTTCTTGATTTCCCTATCTCATTATATATTCATGTATTCATCTATTTCTCTCTTTTTCTCACTCTTTTTGTTTGTCTGTTTCTCTCTCTCTCCCCCCCCCTCCCTCTCTCTCCAAGTGTTGCCACACAGTGTTCATTCTCATTCAACCTGCACAAACCACTTGACAAATTATGTTCCCTTTATCTGTTTTCAAAGCATCAGCTGGTTCAATCACCATCTATATATATATATATATATCTATATTTTATCTTTCTCAACGGTCCAAAACTAATGCAAATTCTGCTATAAGTATGAAATATACATGTGTTGTGCTTATATATATAATATATATATTTTTTAAATACTTTTAAATATTCAAATATTTTAAATATCTTAAATTTTAAAAATATTACTATATTTCTGTGCACAAACTGATACAAGTAAACATAACGATGCACCTACATTTCTAACAGAAAACAGTACTTATCTTAATCAAATATGTGTAACGGAATCTACAAAGGTGATCACATTTTTTATTGAAAATACAAAAATGTGTTTTACATTACAAAAATAAAGTACATCTTTGTTTTTGCTTTTACTCTTCACAGAGCTAGGTTCTTCAACCAAAATACCTTGACATAGGTACAGGAATCGGTTTCAAGAAAATTCTTACACAAGTCTAATTCACATTTGTATTTGATATTCAAGTATCAGAACAGGTGTACACCATATCACACATATATACGCGCACATGCACACCCACCTGTACACTCACGTACATCCACATACACACAAAAAAAAAAACACCTGTTACTTAATCTCAACTGACTTAGATTTTTTAAAATCACAATGGCACAAAACCGAAATTTTAAAAAACAAAATAAATTTAACTGCTGGCTGACTAGATAACAACTATATCTCATTCATCAAATCAAACACTATAATGATTGCGATGAAGAAGAAAAAGAAAAAGAAAAAAAAAAGAAAAAAAAATCTACAAGAATATTCATTACATTAATGAAACTTCATATTACAATTAACTCTATTTCATAACTTAAATCTAAACTTCTTGGAAACTGGTGTTTACTCATAAAATTAAATCATTTCTTAATTTAACAAAAAAAAAAAATCTTTTAATTAAAAACAAAGTCTACTTCTATAGACTAACAAAACTGAATTAACAAATTTACTTTAAAAACTCCAGCTTCTGCAAAATTCCATTATCACAATATATATCACATAATGTTCCATATTTCTTCACTAAGGATAATCTAACATTATAATTCCAAAATATCTAAAATGGCTCCCTTGCATACCATTCACATGACATACAGATGGGGCCAATATACACCATGGAATTATAGTACTAACTGCAGACAATATCCATTACTCAAACAGAATGTGACGCAGTACTCAAACTTAACAGATTCTGGAATATATCTTTAACAGATGGTATGTTCTCCACAAAAGGAACATAATTAGGGAAATTTTGTCTAGGAAAAATCTCGCTGCTCCACCTTCTGCTCTGAATGACAAACGCGCTATACTGGGCTGATAGAATATCAGAAGAAAACACTATATGTAAATAAACCCTTTTGCATATAGAAATTCTTTTCAGTCATCTCGCTCTCTATTTTTCAGCTGAGAACAGAAGCCACTTCAGAGGAAGAAGAGCTTGTCACAGAGTGTATCTGAAGGTTCTTTCCTCACATTCTGCCCTATGAGGTAAGCCAGCTTGTGTGCATACTGGAAAGAAAAATTAAGTACATTTATATCTATTTATCCATTCTTACACCTGCACATCTACATTCATATCTACATTTACAGCTATATATTCACACTCATATATATATATATCTACTAAAACATTCACTAACATACCTCATTATTTAACAAGGGAAAAAAATACCATTTAAGAAAAAGAAAAAAAAAAAGTAGAACACTCTAGGAAAAATGCAAGCTAAACACAAAAAAATCAAAAGCGCAGGAAAATTACCCACCTGACATGGCGCCGGTACCCTAACAGTGCCAGGCCAGTTGTAATAGAGGTGCGTGAGTTTATATGCCAGCCTCTGCATATTGTCCACCTTGAGATTCCCACCATCACGGAGGACCACGTAGTGTGTGGGTGCCACTGTGCTCTGGAAAGTCAGGAAAGCTGATTTGCAAGAAAGTGGTGAGATTTATTTATATATGTGAACGTGGCCGCTAAAGGTGTTCTCAGACCAATATATATATGGTTTGAGGACGCCTATGGACGTGAATGCCCTCATATAAGGATTAGTTTTCTGAGAGTCAGCTGGTTTGTAAGAAATTTATTGTTCTTTTGAAAATCAGGGATAGGAGTTTGAGTGTTGGGAAAAGTTGTCTGAAACATGGAAAAGCTCGTTCAAAAGTTGAAAGAAGCAGTCTAAGGGGGGTTAGGTAGGCCAAGAGCTTAGGGAGATAGTCTAAAAGTTGGTAGGGTAATTTGAGAATCAGAACAGGTTGACTGAAAGTTGGGAAAGATAATCTGAAAGAGTGGGGAAGTTTGACTGCAAGTAAGGAAAGGAAAGGAAAGTTGGGAAAGGTTATCTGAAACAAACAAAAAATAGTCAGAAATCAGTAAAGTGATTCAGGAAAGGTAATCTAAAATTTGGGAAAGCATTAGTAAAGGTAATCTAAAAGGCTAAAAATCAAGACGTCAGGAAAGGTATTCATAGTATGAAAGTCGGGAAAGGTAGTTTGAAAGTTGGGAAAAATCTGACTGAAAGTTAGAAAAATTACAGTGAAAATTAAAAAGATGGTCTTACAGTTGGAAAAGGTGGTCTAAAAGTTAGAAAGGGTGGTCTAAAAGTTGGAATATATGCCATAATTTAGAAAAGTTTTAAAATTTTAATTAAAATGTTGCCTGAAAGTTGCAAAAGCTGAAAGTCTGAAAATATAGATTGCAAATTAGAAAAGGCTATCTGACAGGTGGTATAAAAGTCTGAAAAAATAGTCAACAATTCAGAAAAGGTGATTTGAAAAGGTGTTCCGAAAGTCTGAAAATATTACCAGCAATTTAGAAAAGGTGATCTGAAAGTCTAAAAGGGTCTGAAAGTTGGAAAAAGTGGTCTGAAAATCATGACAAGATGTCTGAGAGCCGGGAATATTTGTCCCAAGAGTCAAGAGAAGTAATCCTAGAGTCAGGTCAGGCAATCTAAGTATCAGGAAAAGGAAGAGGTAGTCTAAGCAAAGTGGTCCATGAGTCAAACAACACCCTGGATGCCCGAAAAGGTATTCACAGGAAAGTCAGAAGAGGCTTGGAAATTGGTGAGCTTATCTTGAGCCCCACTTCCCACCCCTTCTTCCCCTCTGCCTCTCACCTGCCGTACATGCTGCGACACCAGGAAGAAGTCGTACCAATAACGATGTGTGATGCTGTGGTCTATGATGGATCCCGGCGGAGGGTTGTCCAGCTCCGAATTCTGGAATGAGGGAATCGTTCACGCTGACACACTTTTAAAAGCAGGTCACTATGTTGTGTATTGCATATCCATTAAGAATAACAGAACCATGTATATTGGCCATTAATTTCCCTTTCAGTTTTAAAGGAACATAAATGATGATATCAAAAACAACAAATGTAGAAATAATAATCACATACAATAATCACAACAACAACAGAAGTAATAACAAAAACACCATAACAAAGACAAAAATATTAGCACTGTATAAGCAGGACGAGCCCCAGCACCACCACCACAACCATAAGAAATAACGGCGTCACCCACGGTTTGTCCATACCAGTGAGGCGAAGATTCTGGTGCTGATCTTCTTCTGCACGACGACGAACGAGAAGTTGGGCTCATACGAGTCGAAGTGCTGGAAGATGGTGGCCAGCTGTGGTAACTCGTGCTCCTCCACCACCCGCATCTGGCCCTCACTCACACCGTCGCGGTAGATGATGATGGTGCGGGGGAGGGAGTGGTGTTGCTGGAGACGGGGAAGAGGGGGAGAGGGAATGTTTCTTTTTCTGTCTGTTTTGGCTTTTTGTGTGTCTCTGTCCCTCCCTTAGTCTCTGTCTCTGGCTGTCTGTCTGTAACTGTGTGACTGTCTGTCTGTCTGTAACTGTGTGACTGTCTGTCTGTCTGTCTGTCTCACCTGACATTTATGAACACAATATAAATGCCTCCCCCTACCAGAATAAAACATCAAAACCCCTTTTCCTCAACTACCACGATATGCACCCAAACACACATTCTCCTCTCTCTATCTTATTATCTCTCTTTCTCACTGCAGCAAACAGCCTACCCTATGGTAACCTCTAAGCGCCTCTAGGAGCGAGATCTTGAGGCCATGGACGATCTCATCGCCAGGATGCTGGAAGCTGACGTGCGAGAACCACCGGGTCAGCGTCTGGTTGGTCGACGCCACAAAGCCTACCACAGAGGCCCCACGACGGAGGGGGTCGTGGTACACATCCACACCACACACCTGCATCATGGAGTATTTTCATTTCCCTGCAACTTATATCTATGAAATGATATACAATAATGCTGAAATGTTGAGACAAATAAAAAAAAAATCAAAATTATAAAAATGTGTGTGTGTGTTTTCATCTGTGTGTCAGTCTTTCTGAGGGCATGTGTATTTGCATGTACAAATGAACACATCTTAAAAGTGTAGCCTCCCTCACAAAAGATCCACAAATAGACCATCTACGCATAAACCAAAACCCCTACCATAAGTCCCGTCATTGGGATCTTGAGAGCCCAGAGCTCCCCACCCAACTTGCAATTGATCTGCAGTGCAATCTTCTGTGTGACAGAACGCAGTCTGTTCTCCTGACTGATGGTGCGTGAGTTGATGCACTGTGTGGGCAAGCCAAGGTCCACACAGGCCAGGCGCTTCACAGCTGAATACCGGTCCTCGCGCTGGGCTGGGAAGATGATAACTGCCAGCTGTAGCTATATGGGAAAATCAATTACATGAAATATTAATTTCTGTCAACAAGTGTAGGACATCAATTACATTATGATCTCCAACTTCAGCTATCTATTTACCTCCCTTTATAAGCCTGCTAAGTAAAAAACCATGATTATAATAGTTAATAACTTTCAATACATGTGGCAAAAATCTATCATATGTTTCTAGTTCTAACTACTCTTAGTCGACTTTGAAGGAGCGAGAGCCACAAGAATGAAGAACAGCAAACCTAGTCACAACGGCCTTGTCCAAACCCCCTTGTCCATTACCCTCTCGTGGAAGTGTTGCTTGATCCCGTTGACATAACTCTCGATCCTGTCGTCCGGGAGGCGGATCATCTGGGGGGGGCCCACCTGAATGCCCATGGAGCGCGTGACCTGTCGGATCATCTCTGAGAACTTGAAGACACGCGCCTCGTCCCTCGCCGTGAAGAAGATCTGCCAGCACTGTGGCCGGAGGTCGACCTGAGAGGGAGAATAAAGTCACAGAGGAGAGAACAAGGGAGAGGAGAGAAAGGCTCAGAGTTTGTCTGTTGAAAATAGGCCAACAATTCAGATGGCTAGGTTGATCTGGTGGTGGTTGGAAGACAAGGAAGTGAAATTGGTAGCGAGAGGGAAAAGGGAAGAGGCACCGGAGGAGAAAATAGAAGAGCAGAAGGAGGAAAAAATGTAAAAGAAAGTAGAGAAGGTAAAAGTGGAGGAGGAGGTCATGTAAAGCATTATATCACATGCCATCTACATAAGGGGAGGATACCATGGCGAAGTGTTAAGGCACACTCGTAAGCACCAGTACAGTGTCCAAGTGGAGTGGGTTCAAGGAATGCTACAGTCTGAGGTTCAGAGAGGCATCACTTTGGGCAATGGCCTCTACCTACCTCACATAAGTCCTCTGAAAGACTCTGTTGTTATAGCCCTTGTAAACAAGAGGGTTTGAGACATATAACCAACCTATTTCAAACATAACTGAAATCAATGAAAATTAAAATCTTGGGGGAGAAATACAGTAAACTCTATATATATTTTTTTAATTCTGATAATAATTAGGATTAAATGGTAGCAAAAGTCAGTTCAACAGAGGTTGTAATTTTAACAATCTCTTACATGACACTTACTCAAACACCTGAAAACTTTTTTCTTTTTTTTTTATCTAGATGTCAAAAGAACAAAATGATAATGATGATAAAGATTATGAAAAAAAGAACTAGAACAAACAACAACAAAGAAGAGAGGTTAAAGAAAAAGATAATGCAAAAGATGACCATGATGACTAACAAAACTAAGACTCACAGGCACAATCACTTTCTCTCTGGCCGACTCTCTCCCCCAGTCTGCGTTTTCCGTCCCAGGCACTTCCCTCGTGCCAAAGTGGATCGTCTCCGGGGTAAGAATTCGCCCTTCCATTGTGAAAGTGTCGTCATCCAGAGCTAAGCCCCAGTCAGCCAGGACCTGCCAAGCTTCTGAGGATCCTGTACGAGCAATGATAAGAATTACACAAAGAGTAGAAACAGCTGCATTGTGACCTCAACTCCTGAGGGTAATTTTGATAAGAGGAAACCTTTCTCACCTGTTTACCCATTTCCTTGATTAACTGGTATCTTGTATCAGGTTAATAATGTCAATAATACTATAATAGTTATAATTTCTATAACAAAAATAACAGCATTAATACTGATAGAATTTGCAAAAAAGAGCACTTTTCCCACAAACTCAAGGAAAGGTGAGGACAGGTGGGGTCACAAGGTCTACTAGTTGACTCCTTTGTGGCTAACTACTTGCAGAGGAAATTCACAAAACAATACCACAGTGAACACATTTTTCCAGAGACTTTGGGTTAAGATTTCTATTCCTAAAGATATATCTAAGCTTTCAAGTTCAGATATTAACTTTTTTTTTGGTAAAAAAAAAAAAAATACATGTACGGGAACTAGTGTGGTCAATCTGTTCTTTAGATCAAAAGCAGTAAATATCTACTTTCAGCATATGCAGCATTCATTCAGGAATATAAGGCAGGCAGATTTATAAAAGCACATTAGAGGATAAGCAGAAAAGCCAATATTCTATATAAAAAAGGCTACATTTTGTTATAGATGAAAAAAGAGAAAGATATATCAATATGTTAATCACACAGAAAAGCAAATGGGCTCCAACAAGAGAAAATTCTACAGGAGAAAAGAAATCCAACAAGAGAAATACCCAAACCAACAAACTAACCATTGACATTCCTGACAAAGGTTCTAAGAGAGGCATGCCTGACATTAGGCGTGATGCGAGTGTGTTGCGCAATGTCCTTCATGACACGGAAGTCGGAACGCATGTCATCTGTCAGGCCTGTCATGTAGCACAGTTCTGGGATCAGGCACAGAAACTTGGTCGTGCCCTGTGAGGAGGAGGAGGAGGAGGACAGGGAGGAGTGAAACAGAACAGGCGTAGGGATGCTGACAACAAGATGCTAAAGCACTGAGAAGTAAATGCAAAATTACCATGCACAGATTTTCTCATCTGGACATAAAGAACAAATTGGCAAAACGTTTCTGTCCATACAAGAGGATACAGATCCTGTCTATTAGCAGCACATACAAATCAGATACAGCATTGCCGCACCATGCACTTTAATCTCCAAGCATGATATATTGTATTCACCACATATACACTGTATATATACTGTATTCACTCAATCAAACAAGCATACACTCATACAAAAAAAGTCTATTACTGCTGGTATAGGAAAAGAAGAAGTAAGCCACACTATGAATTTATATCACATGCTTTTTCCTCAGAGCATCCTACCTGGTCCTTCAGTTCCTTCTTTCGCACTCTGTGGAGCAGAAGAGGTTGCTGTGGGTCCTTGATGGTGATGTTATATGCATTCTTGTAATAGTCCATATAACACACCTGTAAAAAACAACAAAATTATAACACAATATAAACATATAAACATCATAATATTTAATTATCATGAAAATACCAAGAAAACGATAATTAAATCCATATACATATTCTTTGGATCTTATATAGAATCACTTTCTTTTCTTGCCTGAAGAAGTTCCACAGTCATAATACCACTGCTAAGAAAAAGCTTGATGGCAACTGATACAGCAAAGCTAAGGGAAAATTAGATTTCTGAAGCATTATACATGAAAGATACCTGAGCGCTTCCCTGCCTTATCCATTGCACTGAGTGAAACCATGCAAAACCCCTCATGAAACCTTTATCTCTATAATCTCTGAATACACAATTGCCATTTTCTTTGCTGATACTGGCAGGGGAGGTAAGCAGAGTCCTGAATTTTCTCTATTTATCTATAGCTTTCTTACTCTACCACATCCTTTTATAAACAAAATTTGAAATCTATCTCCAAAATAAAGAATATTACCAATGGGAAAGTAACATTACTTCACAGGGACTAGACATTTACAAATATCTGTACCTTTAACCCTTTGCTTACAAGATTCCCCAAAATGAGCACCACTTTTTACAACGAATCCAGAGTGATGCTCATCTCAAACCCTTAACCCAATGACGCCGGGTGTACTAAAGGAAAATAAAACTCTACGCTCTGGCAAACAAAGGCAGCGCGCCGACTTTGAGCGCAGGAGTACGGGGCGTCAGCCCGAATCACTGGCTCGCCGCGCTTTGGCGCGCCGCCGGCTGGTTTGGCCGCACGCCACCTTTCGAGCGATTTGTTTACACACGTATCGCCGTCACCCGGCGGCAAGGGGTTAAGAAGAAGAACAGAATTCACAGTTTCATTAGAAATCTTTCTGGAATGACAATCACTCCATATTGGTACTCTATCACAAGGAAAGATATTGCACTCTTGTGATTTGACATCTTCTGCACAAGTAAAAAGGGAAACTCCAGGTATTTGCTGTCATACTAATGGGGTATAATTGGAAGCACAGGTGTAGCACATAATCTGGCAATACTGCTTGTTACCCTTGTAAGACCTACTTTTGTGTTCCTCACAAACTTATGCAATCAATTAGTTAGTCCAACTTTAATATATCCCTCGAACAAATGGAATGCTACCATTCCCTTTTTTTCATTTAATTTAACCAATTTCTAAAATTAGACAATAAGTACAAATATATCAAATCAAGAAGATAACAAAAGAACACCTATTTACCCAATGCCTCCCTTTGTGAGTTTAGTTTATTAACTGTCTTTACACACAGATGGCTCCACAAGAACTAAGTCACCAATGACCCAATTATGAGTATTACCTGTCTACAGCCTTTTCCTTAATTTTGTAAAATATTTACTGGTATTTTATTTTGCTGTAATGTGACTATAATAATGGTAATGTTTATCATCAAAATAACAGCATCGATATTGATGGCATTAGTGAAAAAAATATTTACATAGTTATTCCCC